CGGAGCTGGAGAAGCAGCTGGCGGCAGCGCGGCAGCAGCTGGCCACCGGAGGGAGGTCTGAGAGCAACGCGATGGAGGTCGACGTCGAGAGCGGGGAGCTGCCGCCGCAGACCCCCGCTCAGATCCGTGTTCGGTTGGACGAGATCGATGAGGCCATGCGGGCGATCAAAGACCTCAAGGACCCCTGCTTCGAGAAGGCGAGGGAGGACTACGAAGGGGAGCGCAAGCGGCTGCGTTCGGACTTGGAGGCGTCCAAGCCAGTGCCTGCGCAGCTGCGCTCTCTGTCATTCCAGTCGGCGAAGTGGAACACCAAGAAGGCCAAGCACGAGGGCCTTCTGGCGGCCGCCAAGATGGAGGTGCAGAAGCTGCAGGAGACCATCCGTGAGCAGGAGCAGTTGGTGGTCGAGGCTGAGCAGGCCATATTGCAGATTGCTGAAGAACAAACCAGGCTTGCGTCATCGGTCCCGAGGCCTCCACCGTCCGCCACCGAGGCAGGCGAGCTCGTGGCCGCCCTCGGCATCACGGTCGACAAGCTCGGAGGCATCCTTGCAGGACTCGGAGACGACGGTCAGTTACAAGCGAAGTTGGACTCGGCCTTGGAGGAGGTACGGGTTCTGGAGGAGCGCAGGAGACAGGGGCGGTCGACACCCGAGGCAGCACAGCACGAGAACGCTGAGCCGCAGCGGGAGGCCGCCTCTCAGGGCGAGACCAGGCCTGAGCCTGGAGGAGTCGACGTACCAACACCAGACGACACAGACCTGGAGGAGCTGCGGGCTTTCCTGGGGCGCGCTGGGGTTGTTGTGCAGCCCGAGGCCGACGAGGCAACGATCCGAGGGAGCGTTCGCAAGCTGGCCGAGGGGCTCAATGAATGGAGGATTGAGAAGCGTGCCAAGGTCCAGGTCCCTGCCTAGAGCACTGGTGATATGCTGGATGGGCCTGGTTCATACTGTGAGTGCGATGCCGTCGCTGGGCACGGTAGCAGGGTCGCTTGCTGCGAATCCTCTGTTTCAGGAGACTGGCGGCAGTGCTGCCGATGTGGAGTTGGACAGAGCGAACTGCCTGGGTCGGAGCGGCGGCGGCAGTGCCGAGGGCCGCGGCAATGGGCGCGGAGGACGAGCCGCGGACGCGCGGGTGGTCGATGCCTCGTCCCACGTCCGACCTCCTGCTCGAGACGTCGACGGACGTAGCGCCCCGAGCGGGATGGCAGCCGCGGCCCAGGCGAGACCGCGGTCGTCCGACTCCAGGCCCAGACACGATGCGGCAAGTGTTGGGCCAAGCCGTGGTGCTGGAGGCCTAGCGGCCGAGGGCCGTGGCAAGGGGCGAGCTAAGCGAGCCGCGGACGCGCGGGAGGTCGATGCCTCGCTCCTCGCCCCTGGGCTCACTCGGGCCGTCGACGGACGGAGCGCAGCCCCGAGTGGGGCCCTGGCCACGCGGCAGGCTGGCGCGGGCGGCGAGCACTGCCTGGGTCGGAGCGGCGGCGACAGTGCCAAGGGCCGTGGCAAGGGGCGGGGAGGGCGAGCCGCGGACGCGCGGGTGGTCGTTGCCTCGTCCCACGCCCAGCCTCCCGCTCGAGACGTCGACGGACGTAGCGCCCCGAGCGGGAAGGCAGCCGCGGCCCAGGCGTGTCCGCAGCCGCTCGACTCCAGGCACAGACGTGATGCTGCCCAGGAGGGGACAGGCCATGGCGAGGGTGGCCTTGCGGCCCAAGGCGGTGGCAAGGGGCGTGCTAGGCGAGCCGCGGACGCGCGGGTGGTCGATGCCTCGCCTCACGCCCCAGGGCCCACTCGGGCCGTCGACGGACGGAGCGCGGCCCCGAGGGGGACCGATGCCACGGAGCAGGCTGGCCACAAGGGCAGCGTCGTGACGCTGAATTGCTCGTCCGAGAAGCAGCTGCTCGAGTGCATGGTTCACTGCAGTCACACAGTGGTCGCGGTGCAGGAACATCACGTTGCTCATGATGACCTGGCAGACGCACAGCATCGGTTGCTGGGCGCGGGCTGGCAAGGCATATGGGCAGCGGCCAACCACGCAGTCAACGGTGGCACGCAGGCAGGGCTAGCTAGCAGTTTTGGCCAGGCCGAACGTCATGATTACGCGCGGGCCGTGCACGAACGGACAGACCGTGCTGGCTGGCGGTCGAGCTCTGCCCGCTCAAGTACATTGGGGAGTCCCTGGAGGAGTGGTACTGGTCTCAGTGTATCTATATGCCAATGAAGGTTGGTCTGACAATAACCTACACATCATGCAGGAGGTCAGTAGCTATTTGGAAAGATTGAATCATGCAGGCTACGATTGGATTGTGGCAGGAGATTTCAACATCGAAGCATCCCAGTTCGGCGATATGCGATGGCTACACGGGCTTGGTGGTATGCTTCGGGCTCCAGCGGCGACCACATGCAGACAGGCTGTGCCTGGTAGTTGCATCGACTATTCCCTCGCGTCGTCTAACTTGATGACACGAGTAGAGCAGCCGTGTGTTCAGGAGGCGGCAACCACGTTTCCGCACTTGCCAGTGTATATGCATATCAGTGGCAAGGACATCCAGTTGTTTCATCGTGAGCTGCGTGGGCCGCGTGCTGTGCCCAAACAGCCGAAGCCAGGGTGCGCGAGGTTTCCATTGTGTTGGCACGGAGTTGCACGTATTATAGATGCCGCGTGTGACGACAGCAGTTTGCAGGTGGCATGGGATGCTGTGCTGAGCCACATTGAATTAGAGCTGCTTGCCAGACATGACGTCGTTGGCACCAAGGCTGAGCCGTTCGTTGGAGCATGTGGCCCAGTAGAGTTTGAGATTGTCAAGCTGCAGTGGCAACCACAGCAGAAGCGTTCATACATGTCAAAAGCAGCCAATGCGTGGTGCGTTGCAGCCAGATGGGCGCGACACATGCGTAGGGCGAAAGAAGCTATCATTAATGCCACGGCGAAGGTAAGCCTGCAGCAAGTGACAGGGGCGGCAGACATGGCCCACCTGCGCAAGCTGTCGAGTTTGACGATTGAGCTAGGCCGCTTTTTGGCGAAGGTGCTGGCCGAGACGGCCGTGCTCAGCGAGCTCGACAGCTGGGCGTCTGACTTGTTTCTGTTGGGAATGGAGTTCCTTGTTCACACCGAAGTAGATGCAGTGCTGGATGCAATCGAGGCCAAAGCAACGGAGCTTGCGGAGGCACACAGTCAGAAGACCGCCAAAGCCTGGAGGGACTGGGCGACAGCCAGCTTTTCTAACGGCGCGCGCTTCGCGCATAGGCACACGAAATGGAGAGCGTTGCAGGAAGTGGTTAATGCTAATGTGACTGCTCGCGCGCCCTCCCAGCCGTATCAGCTAGCCGATAAGGCCATGAGGGACTGGGAAGAGATTTGGTCGATGCACGATGCCGCAGCTCCTCAGTTGCCAGCAGAGGCGAAGGACTGGGAAGAGCTCCCACCCTTGACCTTGCAGGACTTGCAACGCGCCATTCTTCAGTTCCCATGGGCGACGGGAGTCGGCCAGTTCAGTTTTGCTCCTCGCAGTTTAATCTTTCTGAGCATCCCAGGCCTGGAGGCCTTAGCGAAGCTGTTCATGAAGTGTGACAGCCTCTTGATCTGGCCATCGGGCAGACTGCTGACGCAGCTCGCTCGCCTCCCCAAGGCGCCGGGAGGATGTAGGCTGATTGCGCTCTTGAACACGCTCCTGAGAGTCTGGGGCAGGGCCCGCAGGCCCATCGCGGCCGCCTGGGAGGTTGAGCATGACCTGGATTGTTTCTGGGGGACGGGAGCTGGTAGGTCGAGCTCGGACAGCGCGTTTTCTCTGAATCTTGAGGCTGAGATTGCGCACGAGTTAGGAGAGGACAGCCTCACAGTTTTTATCGATATGTTGAAATGCTATGAGACTGTCAGTTTGCAGAGCCTGCTTCGCGAGGCCAAGCTGAATCGTTTCCCGATGAGATTAGCGCGGATGGCGATTCAAACGTATCTGCAACCTCGTTGCCTGCGTGCTTTTGCCTCCCTGTCCGTACCAGTGCAGTCTAATCAGGGTATCCTAGCAGGCTGCTCTTTGGCCACTACAATGCTGCGGGTCCTGCTGCATAGGAGCTTGCAGGATTGCATGACTATATACCCCACGGTCAAGCCGCGTGCGCTGATCGACGATGTTAGCTTCCACTGGTCAGGAGAGCGTGCCAGGGAGGGAGAGAGCGTTGGCCAGGCAAGAGACTTGGCCAATGCAGTACACAGTTTTTGCCTCAGTGTGAGGCCGCTCGGGTTAGTCGTCCAGCCGAGCAAGTCAGGTTTTGTTGCGAACACGAGCCGAGGCCGAGATAGATTCGCTCGATTGGTTGTGCCTCTTCGTATGCGAGCGAAGCGAGCGATGCGTAATCTAGGTCACGAGATGCACGGCTCCAGAGTCTTGCGTGTGCAAGAAAAGATGCGTCTTAAGAATCTCAAGGCTCGTAGGCGCAAGGTGTGGGGCCTGAAGCATGCCGCTGGGGAGGCCGTGACATCCTTGTGGAGGACGGGGCTACTCCCAGCTGGCGGCCACGGCGCTGGAGTGTCAGGGATATCTGACGCAGCGATTCGCGAGCTTCGGGCGTATGCTGGAGGCATGTGCGGGGCCAAGCCCAAGGCGTCGCTCACCCTGTTTTTAGCCACACAGCAGGTTCGACCCTTTTTTTGATGCGACGGTTCCGTTGGTTGCCAGGTTTGCCTCGTTCATCTGGGACAATAGGGTCGCGCCTGGACGGCTCCGCAGAGCCTGGGAAGTGGTCAGGGCGAAGCTTGACCAACGCATCTCGTGGTCCAGAGCCCGTGGCCCCATCGCCTCTGTTTGGGTCACGCTCCTGCGCGTGGGTTGGTCGATGTTTTCTCCGACAGTGCTTGTGGACGATCGAGGTCGCCACGTCGATTTAGTCAGGCAGTGTCCAGGTGATGTGAAAGCCTTCCTGGAGGAAAGCATTCGCCGCTGGCAAGTAGATAGGATCCTGCAGCACCTGCCCAACAGCCTTGGAGAGAGCTGCTGGAGGAGGGGAATGAGGAAAGCAGTGTTTGCTGTAAGGGACGTTGCGAGGCGAGGCGCCTTGCGGACGCTCTGGTCGTCAGGGGTTTGGACCCCCGAGAGGCTGCACAGCATTGGGCTCCGCAGTTCCCCGCAGTGTTTTGTATGCAAGCAGGCAACAGGCAATGAGTCCCACCAATGGTTTGAGTGCGACGCCATGCTAGACGGGTTGGACGTGCCTGTACCAGATTACGTCCTCGAGCTGGGGAAGGATATCAAGGCCAGGAATAATTCGCAATCTGGAGCGGATCAATTTTATCTCAGCTTCGGATTGCCGCCCGAGCCACCAGCACTGTCGCCCCCGAGCGATGAGTATCCTGTGTTGGGATGGGGGGACTGGCGTGGGCGATGGGGGCGGAGGGTGTACACCGACGGAAGCGGCCAAGCGTCGTCGATCCCAGAGCTGGCCCGATGCGGCTGGTCTGTGGTCGAGGTCGACGAGGCTGGCAACGTGTTGCGTGCAATTTTTGGCGCGCTACCAGGAGCTGTGCAGACAGTGCCACGTGCGGAGCACTACGCAGCGCTCAAAGCAGTAGAAGTTGCGCAACAGCCTGCTATCATAGTGTCCGATCACCTGCATCTGGTGCGTGAAGGGTGTGCCTGGTCGGCGGCCGCTGCCTCCTCCAGTGGCCGCCACGCGGCTGTGTGGGAGAAAATACGTCGGCACTGTCCTGAGGCTCCTCCTACCTTCGAGTGGGTCCCTGCGCGCAGAGAGCTCTCGGAGGTTCTGGAGGCCCCCGAGTGTAACTTTGTCCGTTGCGTTGCTAACGAGTGGGCTGACTTCTTTGCCAAGCGTGGGGCCCAGGTGCATTCAACTGGCCAGACCATGCAGGATTATTTTAAGCAGGCCATGAAGGCGGCCAAAGACCACTCGCAGGTTTTTGCCTGGATGGCCCAAGCGGTCGCCAAACAGAATGTTGAGCTCCAACCTAGGGAAGTCGTGCCGTCTCAGGTTTGCCGAGACGGCGCCGCCCCACAGGTTGTGCTTGACTCGCATGAGTTTCGTTTCTGTGAGAGGCTATCTGAACACAGGTGCCTGAAGTGCAACAGGTTTGCTAGGACGACCGAATCCTTGAAGGCCCTTCGAGCGAAGCGATGCGAGCCCATGGACCTTGCGAGTGCGATGGCGACGCGTTATTTTGCCCTCACCCCCGGAGTTTATCGGCACGCCTCGCGCGCGGTGGACGTCGCCGTGCGTGCTGCTGGCCTTGATGAAGGCCTAGGGCCCTCTGGAGGCCCATGCGAGGGTGGTGGAGTGGGGGCTGACGTCGTCGCCGTCGGGGTCGATCGGGAGGTGGAATTGTACTCGGAGCTCGGCCGCGGGATGGGGCGATTTGGCTCCACGGTCATCTGCCTCGGTTGCGGGGCGTTTAGTGTGGCTGGAGGCCGCAATCGGAAGCTGCGTGCCCAGTGCAGGGGTCATTCGGACGTAGCTTCTACGCGTGCGAACGAGGAGATGCAGATCTCACGTGCGATGCGCGGGCTGCACCCCAGGTCGGGGGACCCTTGCCCATGACGACCTCGACGCCAGGTCCCCTCTGTCGGCTCTCCGACGTGGTGGGGACGGTGCTGTCGAGGTCAAGCCGCACGGTGCGATGGCTCGTTGCCTCGCCGTGCGGCTCATCACTTTCTTCCCGCTGAAGCGGGTCCGTACGCTCGGACTCGCCCTTCATCGCTCGCCACCTCCTCCTCCTCCTCCTCCTCCTCCTCCCTCCTCCCCTCCCTCCTCCTCCTCCTCCCTCCTCCTCCCTCCTCCTCCTCCTCCTCCTCCTCCTCCTCCTCCTCCTCCCTCCTCCTCCTCCTCCTCCTCCTCCTCCCTCCTCCTCCCCCTCCTCCTCCTCCTCCTCCTCCTCCTCCTCCTCCTCCTCCTCCTCCTCCTCCTCCTCCTCCTCCTCCTCCTCCCCCCCGCTCGACGCCGACGGACGCCGACGCGCCACGGTGACGGCCGCCCCACCTGGCCGCGGGGGGCGCCCCTCTCGCGCCACCGTGTCGCGCGTGCCGCTGGTCGAGAAGCTGTGCTGGATTGTGCGCGCGGCTGCAGGCCGCGCGGGCGGGCGGTCTTCACAGCAGTGCCAGCTGTTCGTTCTGTGCGATGCATCGCTGCTCAGGCTCTGCCTGCCTCGACACGTTCGGAAGTTTGCCATGGGGGTGGGGGGGGCGGATCCTGAGAGAAACGGGTCCCAAAGTTTTCGCCGTTTCTGCTTTCCCGGGGCCCTCCACGGGCCGTGGGACTGTCAGAAAACGACTCAGGATGAAGATCTCGTCCTGGGGGAGGGCCCTCAGGGTCCAGGACCCGTTTCCCTCAGGTCCCGTTACCCCCGCGCTAAGACTTTCGGCGCGCTCCCGATCACCAGCTGCTCGGGCCGATGCGAATGTCCTCTCGCCTCCTGCGGCCCGTCAGCTTCGATGCTCGTGTCCCGTCGGCGTTGCGTCCTCCTCCCCCGTGCTGCTGCACCTTTGCTACAGCAGGCGCATCTGAAAACACCAGCCTGCCACCTGGGGCCCCACCGAAGGTTCTTTATGATTCCCTGGTGGCCCCAGGGGGGCGCTCGCCATGGGGGAGACGGATCCTGAGGGAAACGGGCCTTTTTTTGGTTTGCCGCTTTTGGTTCCCCTGGGCCCTCCACGGGCCCATGGGCTGTCCGAAAACGGCTCTGGATGCAGTGCCGGTTTGGGGGGAAGGCCCCAGGGTGCCGGGCTTGTTTCCCCCAGGACGCGTTTCCCCCATGCTAAGGCGCACTGATATTCCAGAGAACCACACGGATCGTAATATTGACGACAGATGCGCTCCAATATTTTTCACGGCGAGGTCCCTCACCGTATGTATGGCGAAGACGTCCCGTGGGGTGAGAACGAGGTTCGGGGAGGGGGTGTTGGGTGCAGCTATCGGTTTGCGATAGGCGTCGGATCGGGTTCGCGATTTTTCTTTCTCTCTCTCTCTCTCTTTCTCTCTTCCTTTCTCCCCTTCTAGATATTTACATCGATTGATCTCCTATCGATCCATCGGTCTCACTATTTTTGTCACTATCTATCGATCGATCCGGGGAAGGGGCAGAACGGGGGGAGGGACCACACTGCCTGGGAGGCTCTGGGGGGCCCTGTGTCGCCTCAGGGGAGGGCTTGTGGAAGCCCTCTGGGTGGCGCCCGCGGCAGCCCAGCAGGCCAGCCGGGGTCGCTGCTGCTGTCGCTGCCTCTTCTGCTCCTGCACTTCCTGGCTTCTCTCTCTCTCTCTCTCTCTCTCTCTCTCTCGAGAGAGAGAGAGAGAGAGAGAGAGAGAGCCTGTGGGCGCTCGTGGCTTCTCCGTGCGCTGGGTGGGTCGGCCGAGGCTGCGCCTCGGTGCCGCCCGTGCCGTTGCGTGGGCGCTCGTGGGTGCCCCCCTGCGCTGTCTGGGCCCGCCCAGGTCACGCCACGTTGCCGCCCGTGCCGCCTCGCGGGTGCTCGTGGGCGCCCCGCGTGCCGGGTGAGTCCGCCGAGGTCACGCCGGGTTGCCGCCCGCGCCGCCTCGTGGGCGGTCGTGGGCGCCCCGTGTGCTAAGCCGGGGCGCCACAGCTTACACGGCATAGCTTGCACGACATGTCTCACACCACCTGGCTCACGTCGTACATCTTACGCATCGCATCACATAGCCCACACCGCATACGTGTCATCTCCAGCTCGCACCACACACATATCATGCGGCATAGGCTGCACCACAAGGCTCACCCCTCATAGCGTTCACCAGCATAGATCACACAGCATAGCTTACAAGACATTGCCTGCACCACATGGCTTGCACCGCATAGCTTCCACCTCCACAGTGCAACAACTCACTGTGTGGGGTCCACGCTGACCTTTTTGTAAACAGGGGTTGCCATCCATCCTTGCATGCGTGGGAAACTTATACGGCGAATGTGCGTGGTGCCTGGGCGGGAGACGCCTTTTGAACTGAGTCGCGCTCCTTGACATGTGGACGCTTTTAAGACGAGTGTTCGCGCGGCTACGGCGAGAGTCACTTTTTGAAAGCCACCCTTCCTTCACCTGTGTAATTGTTCGACACGTTTTGCGAATCTGCGCAGCGCTAAAGCAAGAGCCATCTACTGGAACCCTCTGACATCACCTCCTCCTCCTCCTCCTCCACCCACATCAGTGTTCGGAGCGTAATGCGAGTATGCGTGGCTTTAGGGCGAGAGCCATATTTTGAACACGACCCGTCCTCCATCCCTGTAGCGCTTTGGAGTTTCAAGCGTGCGGGCCATACTCAGGCGGCGGGGAGGTCTCTGGCGAGACACCCGGCCCGCCCTCCCGACCCGTCTGGTGGTGCGACGAGGAGGACGTACTCAAGGAGGAGGGGCGGAGGATGAGGATCAGGCGGTGAAGCGGCACGCCGTAGGGCTACACACACAAGCAGCACCGCAGAGGCAGTCCAGCTGGCTTCGACAGGCCCTGCTGGTAGCATGGGGCGTCTGAGCCTGCCAATCTCACGGCGCCAGCGAGTTGAGACCGCCACAGACTACCCTCGGGGCCTGCGGAGGCCGGCCAGGACTACCTCCATGGATTAGACTGTCAGTGCGCAGCCCCGAACCTTGCGAACGATGATGGGGAGGAGGAGGGTCAGCAGGAGGAGCCACTCGTTCGTGTGAGCCGCTACGTGTGGTGCCGCGGCCGCGGCCGCGCAGCGCTTGGTGCGTGTGCCTGAAGGCCAGTGGCGTGCGAGAGTCCCCCAAGGAAGCTCTCCCTGGTGAAAAGCACGTGTGACGACTTGTGCTGGCGGCGCGCATCGGTGGGCAGGGGGGGGGGGGCGGGGCGACCTTCTCAGAGGGCAGGGGGTCTCTCGGACGGGTTCTGCCCATTCTAGGAGGCTGCCAGGAACCTGGCATCGCTCGGACGTGTGCATTTTTCCTTCGGCGAGGACCATCGAGGAGCATCCTTGATCATTTGGCGAAAAAACCATGCACGAAACCGAAAACAACACAGGGAATGGACGTCCGAGCGATGGCCAGGGAAGGCTGCTCGGAAGGCAGGAGGGCTTTCTGGAGGCGGTGTGCCCTCCCAGAGGGCTGCGCCCCTCGACGCGCACCGCCGACGGGAGCAGGACGCCGATTACGCAGAAGGAGCAGGGGTGTTTGGCAACCGTGCAGCAGGACCGCGCGACCGAGGGCCAGCTTGGGTGAGGGTACGGATGGCGTTCACAGGGTGGAGGCATCCCGATGTCTCCTTTCCAGTGGTGCTCCGGGGCGGCCACGACTGGAGTCGTCGCAGCCCTGCGCTCGGGAGTGTTCGGGGGTCGTTACGTCGGCCGCTCCCTTTGCTTTGCGCACTTGTGGCAAGACTTGCCAGAAGGTTGCGGCTGCGGGGCAAGACTTGCCAGAAGGTTACGGCTGCTGCGGAGGAGCCAGTCCATTTTGCTGGGTGTGATAGAACTCAGCTGGCGCGGGGTTTGAGAGCAACCCTTGTGTGGGAGGGGTACCCTCGCGCTCTTCGTGCTTGGGTCTCCACTTTGGACTGGCCTTCTTTGGTATCTCCATTGGGCCCTGGGCTCTCGAAGACGGGGCCCATATTGAACATGGGTCTTGCGAGCTCGTGTTTTGTGGTGTCGCTTTGTTTCTTGAACGGAGACGGCATCTGGTCAACATTCAGCGTTTAAAGCAAAAATGTTGAAATAATCACTTCGGCTCGCTGTGCTGTTGATTTTTGTTTTGACCGAGAAACGAGCTTAAACACAAACAGCGTTTCTTTCCACCGCTGCCATGTGACTGACCCGGCAGAAGGAGGAGGACCCGACACTGACGCGGAGGAGGAGGAGGAGGAGGAGGAGGAGGAGGAGGAGGAGGAGGAGGAGGAGGAGGAGGAGGAGGAAGGAGGGACGAGGATGAGGATGATGATGAGGAGGAGGAGGATGAGGAGGAGGAGGACCCGGCACCGACTGAGCGGGAGGAGGAGGGAGGAAGGAGGAGGAGGAGGGAGGGTCAGGACACACGTCCTCGTGCCCTTGCTGCGACTGTAGGAGGAGCGGCCGCCGCGGTTGTCGGTGCCCCCGCTGCCCGCCGGGAGAGCCGGAAGGCCGCGCCGCGCGGGCGCGCGCGCCCGTCGCCCCCTCTCGGCCGCCGGGGGGGGTGCGATGAGGGGCTGGGGCGGCGGCGAGGCTCCGTGGCCGCGGGGGCTGAGGGCAGCACAGCCTCCCCCCACACGGTCCGGCAGGACCCCCGCTCCCGACCTGGTGATCCCGGGGGCCCTGGCTAGGGGTGAGGGTGTCTGCTGGCCGCCGAGGACCCTCAAAAAACCAGCCCCACCCCCAGCCAGGACCCTCTGGATCACCAGGTCGGGAGTGGGGGTCCTGGCTGGGGGCGGGGGTGGGTTGTGCTGTCAGGGGCGGGGGGGGTGGCGATGAGGGGCTGGGGCGGCGGCGAGGCTGCCTGGCCGCGGGGGTGGGGCCGCGGGTGGGACGAGGATCAATGAGTGGTGCGCTGACGGGTTTCTCCACGGCGGCGTGCCATTTTTCTTGTTTTGCCAACCCAGCGGGTCGGTTGACCCTCTCGGGTCGGACGCAAGTGGGGATCTTGCGGTTCTCAAGGTTTTCGGATTCGTGGAGCCCCTCCCAGTGCACCACAAAAACTCGGGGTGATGTCTGGGCCCTGGGGTGCGTCCCTTGCTCTCAGGGCCCTTTTTCTCTTCTTGCAGAACAACTAGCTGCTTGCAGCTGATTCGCTTACCCTCATCCCCCCAATTCGTCCGACCTGACCGTTCGAGAATCGAGATTCGAGGGTCGAAACCTGGGCCCGGGAGGCCAGGGCTGAGCTCAGGGCCATGGCCAAACACCGCCAAAAGTGCATTGCCGAGGTGCTTTCGGACATTTGTCAGGAGGGTGCGGGATGGGCTGTCGACTGACGACGGCGGCGGTGACGACGGAGACCACGACGGACGACGGACGACGGCGGAGGACGGCCAGACGACGGACGACGGCTGACGGACGACGACGATGGAGGTTGCAAAGGACAACAACCACGAGCACGACGATTCCCGCGCCTGCCCCCCGTGCGCGGGAGCACACGCTCGACGCCGGCGTCGCCCCTCGGGGCATTGAGGAGACACGGCCGAGACGCCGAAATGCGGATCAATTTGGGTTCGGAAGGGTTTCGCTGTTCCCCATGCTCTTCCATGATTGCTCAGGGCTTTGAGGAGGTCTCTCAGGAAGGCGCCTGGCTGCCGCGGCAACCGCCCGCTTCACGCAGCGCACCTGTCACCTTGCTTCGGGAGCACTGACATTTTTGCGTCCCCTGTCGTATTCTTGTCCGCTGCGTCCCTGTTCCTCAGTTGCCGTTCCCCTACCGTAGCAGCTCGACTGTGCGAGAGCTTCGTGCTCGCCCAGGGGGGGCCCGAATCAGGCCGAGCTCGGCGCCGACGCCCGACGACTAACGACGACAAACTGTGACCGACGGCGACGACGACGACGACGGCGACGGCGACGACACCGACGACGACGACGACGAGGAGGAGGAC